TATTATGATGCATAAATTTGATGCAAGATCTAAGTCAGAAATCTGATATAATCTCTAATGTTGAAAATCTGATAAAAGAAAACTGATGCTGAAATCAGAAATTCTAATGCAAAAATTTGATACTATATTTATGAAAACTGATGGAGAAATCTGATGATGAAATCAGAACGCCTATGTATTAATCTGATATAAAATCTGATTCGTGAATATGATGTAATATCTAATGCAAAAGTTCTAATACAAACTGATACAAAATCTGATATAAATTGTGATTCAAAAATCTGATGCAATATCTGATCAGCACCTGAAACTAAATTCTAAAATAAGAATTTTTGATGAAAAAATCCTGATGCAAAAAATTTGATTATCAAAATATTGATGCTTAATCTGATGTAATATCAGATTCTGAAAATTTTAAATGCTGAAATGCTGAAAATCTGATTCAGCAAAATTGATTTTTCCTTTTCATTTGTTTGCTGTAAAATCTAAAAAGTATAACAACATAAAAAACAATTTTATTTTTCTTCTAGAACTGATGCTGTTTTTTTTCAAAACAAGCAAGAAAAACTCAAACACTGATTTTGTTTTTCCCGTTTTAAAAAAATGCAAGTAAAATTGTTTCTGATTTCTTGTTCGTTTCGTACAAACAAATTTGTTTTAAGATTGTAGGAATAATATCACGGAAATGTACGAAAACAAGAAAGAAAACATAAAAAATGAGACATGTATTTAACACATTGTCCTTAAAACAAATTCTTTCGCTACCGGGTGTTTCTTTCCCAGGATACAACAGTTCGAAGTGGTTCTTCTAGACCACCCGAACCCTCAATATGCCTGAAATATATCTTCAATATAGCTAGAAAAATAAGAAGTGGGGAAGAAGAGAATTTGTTGCATTCTTTTGTTTTTGCAAATGGTTGTAGAGTAGTGGTATTTATACTACACATTCTATAACCTCCCATTTAAACACATCTATTAATCACAAGATTAATGTGTGTTTAATATGTAATTAAACTGTAATATTAATGACAATTTCAGTTATGAAAGAAAGAAATATTTGCAAGAAAGGTCCCTGAACTTTTCTTTTCTTTCTCTCGTCCATTAAACTCTTTTATTTACTTCTTCCAACATTCATACTTTAAGGATTAATTTTTCATTCATCTTAAATCCGTTTTGGACGTGTAAAAAAAATTGGGAAACCCTATTTTTATAAATTGTTTCACACAAGTTTTCTAACAGAAAACAGTAGTGTTCACTGTTGTGAAGTAATAATCGATAATGAAGAAAAAAAAACAAAGATAGTTAAATGATAATAAAGGAAAGAAATGTTATGGTGAATTGTATATTTACTAAGTGAAAATCGAATCGGGTATATTTACTAAGTTAAAATGATACAATATAAATGTTTAGTACTTAAGCTTCGATGAGGCTGTAATGTATATTCCTTATCCCCCCCCCCCACACCACACACACACACACACACACACACACACACACACACACACACACACATATATATATATATATATATATATATATATATTAATACATATTACATGTTGAAGATATAATGAGTATTAATTAAATCTTCAGCATTTAATATGCGTTAATTACTTTCTTAAAATAACTAAAATGAGTGGTCCAGAATCAATCCTACATGCACACAATAGATAGTAAAAATATTTAAACCTAACTCTCTCTCTCTCTCTCTCTCTCTCTATATATATATATATATCTATATATATATAATATATATAGATATATATATATATATAAAATTTGTTTTTCATTAATTTATTTTATTAAAAGAACTATTTAATATAAAATGTTGGTACCATCACCAACACCCACCACCAGTTATCCATTCACCACATGCCACATCTCCTCCTTTCGCATGCATTCCTCTCGGTTACCACCGTCTCTTTCATTGGATAAAATTATTAGGTGTGAGACATGTGTAGTATACGAGATGATTAATATATAAAATGTCATGTGTAAAAAAATTATTTAAAATACTTACAAAATAACATGTGACAAAATGAATAAGAGTGTAACAAATGACAGAAAAAAGATTTTTATTTATTAGGATAGATATATATTAAACTCAAAAATCTATATAGAGTTTTAACATTTATGTTTTACAAAATATCAAATTTTACGGTTGTTTATGACATTTATTAAAAAAAATGGTCATTTTATAATATCTATTAAGAAGAGTTGTTATTTTAGTATATCTTGTTTGAAAACAATAAATTTTATAAAGCTCAACTTCACATGATATTCCTATATAAATAATTTGATTTACCCCTGAAATTTAAAAAAAAAATCATGTCCACAGAAAGCAAGTGTTAAAAAATTGCAACAAAATAACTATTAATAAACTAAACAAATTAAATAAATAACAGTTAAAAACTTGTTTTAATGATAGTTTTTATATCGGTTTTAAAAATTCGATAAATAATAGATAATCAGACGTTTAACATATACGTCTAACTAATTTTTATTTGAACATGTTTCAAAAAATAACAGTTAAGGATCTATATTGTAATTTATTAGTCAAAATAGGTTATCATCTATCTAAAACAAAAAAAAATTAAAAAAATAAATAAATAAATAAATAATCGTAACTTATTATTATTAGTAAATGGATTTATAAATAAAAATTTCCATCAATTAATATACAATCTTTGTCATTTATTATCATATTCATTATATTTAATACTTTAATACTTTAATTTAAAAAATTTGGAAAAAAAACCATAAATTGACATTGTAAATATAATTTATTTAGAAAATATTATAAAATGACATGTGTCAAAACTCATGAAAAAATGACATGTTGCAAAAGGATCATTGATCTATTAGAGTAGATCACCCCCTTTATCACCGGACTAAACTACCACCATATCCGCCTCCGGAAAAAACACCCCATCGAACACATTCAAACCCCGAACTCAAACACATAAATTTAACCCATTCAAAGTAGAAATCAAAATCCAAAAATCCAACCAAGAAATTCATGCCAGAAATTAAGGATAATGTCGTCATTTTAAATCGGACGGGTACCAAATCCAAAAACAAATTAAAATGTGAGGGTTGTCTTAATGAAAAAAAAAGTTAAAAGATAAGGATGTGTTTGATTCGCTGGAATGGATTCCAATTCCACCACATTCCAGTGTTTGGTTCAACTTTGTATGATGGAATTAGGATCCTAAATGAGAAACTTTCCTTCAAATAAGGGAAAACACTTTCCTTCAAGATGATGATGGAATTAATTCCCTTCTAAGAAGGAAAGTGGCATTTTACCTTATTACTCTTGTTTTATTTCCCAACATAACTTTTACCACCATCACTCACCCACCACCACCTTCACCACTACCCACCACCGCCGCCGCCACCACTACCACCTACCACCTCCACCGCCACCACTTATCGCCATTACCGTAACTACTACCACCACCTACTACCGACATCACCACCACCACCTACCACCGCTACTGTCACTACCATTCACCTACCGCCACCGCCACCATCACCTACCGCCACCGCTACCACCACCACCCACCACTTGCCACCGTCATCACCATCCACCACCACCTATCCCTGCCACCGTCACCGCCATCACCACCACCATCCAGTTACCGTCACCGCTACCACCTACCGCCACCCCACCACAACTACCACCACCACCTACCCTTGCTACTGCTACCGCCTCCACCACCACCACCATCTACCGCCACTGACACCACTATCACCCACCACCACCATCACCACCACCTACCACCACCGCCACCACCACCCATCATCACCGCCACCACCACCTACCACCGGTATGAATGTTCACTTAATAAAATGAAAAATTATTATTTTTATAGTTTATATAATATATATTTAAATGTAAGATAGAAATCAAAATAAAATTAAGCAAAACAAATAAAAAAAGGATAATTCTGTCTGTCATTTTATATGGATTAAATTCCGCATGCCGACCAAACAAAATCTAGAATTAATTATAATTTTATTTCCTGCCAACCAAACAGTATATAGAATAATTCGTGACAGATTCCTTTTCCAATTCCAATTCCAATTGCATTGAAAACATTTTGCAAACTAAAAAACACCTAAGGTTGTTGAATGAAAAAAATAAAAAAAATAAAAAAAAATGTTCAAAGATAAAGACTCGCAAGTTATATCAAAAAATAGGAACGGATTCTCGTAATTTACTCTATATAGTATATGACCCTTTTTACAGTCAAAAGAGGAACGGATTCTTGTAATTTACTCTATATAGTATATGACCCTTTCTAAAACATAAATGGTTGAATAGGGATAAGAATTACAAGTCACTTGAAAAAAATAAATAAATAAAAAATAACCCTAGCAAATCGCAAGTAGTTTGCAACAGAAGAACATCGTCATTGAGGCCAATCTGAGACTATCTAATCTAAAGAACGTCACATAAAAATCTTTTTTATTTTTTATTTTTTTACTTCCGAGCAAGGGGATTATTCAAAAGTTGATAAGCTCCGTTTTAATTATCAGTCGGAGACCGGGGTTGAAGGTATAAGAGGGAGAGCCAACCACGAAACGAACAACTCATCTAAAATATGATGATTCACATCGGAAGTTTGACATTTGAATTCAAACCCGTTTGGAGTCGGTCGATTACGCAATAGGTTCATCAATTCACTCATTAATGAAATATATATAGTTGAACCGAAAACATACAACGACTTACAAGAGAGAATGAAATTACTCATTCACAGGTATTTACCATTTCTTACATTTATCATCGATCTTCCTGTGTCTTACCCAAACATTACTAGCTATCTACTGACCTCACTGAATTTAAACACTTCGAAAGGATCATTGCGTTTCACAATCTAATAATAATAATAATAATAATAATAATAATGATAATAATAATAATAATAGCAATCCCAGTAAACATTCTTCTTCTTGATAACTGTACATCTCCTTCTGCTCCTTCCATCATCGATCTAGGTGAGAAGATCATTCACCCAGTTAAGATCCGGACCACCAGTGGCCCTCTCTTCATTGAGGTTGTTCATGCCCAGATTGCATTCTCTGGTAAAAGCACGACGTGACCCGGATGCACACGGGGATAATGTCGAAGGAGAGAAAACAAAAAATGACTGTTGATCATCACTACCAGCAAAAGAATCCATCCACATCGGGTTTGTATTCTGAGCTTGATCAACTGCATTCATATTCATAGCCTTCATGGAGTGCATGAGTTCATTTATCGACTGAGAAGCTATGAGTTCGTTCATGGAATCTCCGTAGTTTCCAAGTTGAGTCATTCCAGATGACTCCGTGCGGCCTAACCTGTCAGAAAAACGGGACACCGGAGAAAACCCAACTCCCAGCAGCGTCGTAGAGAATGGGGGCGAAGAGGGTGGAGACAGTTTGTCTAGATCGAGAATCGAGGTTGGGGAATTTGAGTGATGGGTACCTGGATGACAGCGACAGTGAACACAATGGCCGGAGTTTCCATGCTTTTTCGGCGAGTCAACCGTCTCAACCGGCAGCGATCGGAGCTGTTTAGGAGTGTGTGCAAAAAAGCAGATCTTCCGCTGACAATTCTTCCCGTCTTTGCAGGCTTCAGTACGATAGCGAGAAGGATGAAGCCAGCACTCAAAAACCCCATGAGCAAACTCACAGCTGTCTCCTCGGCCACAACTTCCCCGGCGAAAATCCGCACACACAATACCAGAATAATTGAACCGACGGGGACACCTCCGGCGAGCCTTTTCACCAGGGTGAGCGAAGGGGCAGTCAGTCCAGTCATGGGATCTGCTACGAGTACACTTCCGAATCTTGAACTCGTACATCCGAAATTCTTCAGAAGAATAGGGATCAGAGTCATCATCTTGACCAGAATTGTAAGGGAGGAATTTCTGGAGTAGGGTTTCCTCAGGAAGGACTCTAGGGGAGTCATTTTGTTGGTGTTGGAGCTGATTGTACATATCCATGGATTGTTCAGAAGATAAAGCTGCAAGTCGACGACTGAGAAGCTTGCGAGGTGGGATGTCGAGGTCCCGGAAGGATTTCTTGCTGGCGAGGTACAGTTGGTGAGCGGACTGAAACTTGTGTTCTTGTTCTGAACAAACACTATCCATGATCCCTTTGTCTGTTTATTTTTGTGTGGATTTTGTTTGTGTATGTTGGGAGTGATGGATAGAGAGAAAAAGAGGGATCAGTTAATGGAAGACATTAAAGAGATGGTTGATGAGAAAGGAAGGAAGTAAAACGGGGGCGATATATAGGTGGTTTCTGGTTTGGGAAAGATCGAGAGAAGGATGATGACGAGAGGGGAGAGATGACGAGGATAGACCGAGGTGTGGAGAAAGCACTGCGTGGCAGAATAGTATTAGAGCTGGGCATGCAGAGTTATATATGTGGCAGCTCAAGGAAGAGGTTCTTACATGCATGCAGATCTCTCTCTCTCCTCTCTCTCACACACAACTAAAATTTAGTAATATTTACTTCACTTCTCTAGTTTTGCTATTCTGACTTGTAGTAGCATCGTTTCACCAATACTATTCTTTCCTTTATTCTTAAAGATTTTTATAACATTTTCAACGAACTGTTTCACATTTTCTATAAAATATTGGTACGTTATTTTTTTATTTGTTGAATCACATGGGTACTATGAATTCTATCCATATATAGATTTAACGGATAATCATAAAATAAGTATGAAAGTGAGAAAGTCATAAACCCCCTAAAAATAAAGTATATATTTAACAGAATAGTAATTATCTTTTATAAAAGTTATCATAAATTTTGTAACATAAACACTTTTTCAAAAAAAAAAATGTTCCACAGATTTGTGGTGTTTTTTTCAATTTTTTTTTACTTCGCTTTACATAAAAAATGCATTTTATAGATTCTTTAACCTTTAACATTCCACTTCACTTAGTTTTAAGTTTAGCTAAAGGTTAAATAGGGGAAATAGACTTATTAATTTAATTAACTTTTCGGTTTGTTCATATTTAGATAATTATTTTTTTTACACATTTAGGTAATAAACTTTTTGAAGTGTTCACATATGGCCATTATGACCGGCTGTAGCAGGTTACAAAAAGTTCGTTACCTAGATGTATATAAAAAAAAGATAGTTACCCATATGCGAACAAAACGAAAAGGTAAGAGTAAATTACACGAATGGTCCCTATTGTTTGGGTAATTTGTGTGTTTTGGTCCATGTCTTACCTCAAAAGACTACCGTGTCCTTTTTAATTTTTTTTATTTAATTTTCTTATTTATGTATTTATTTTTTATATATTTAAAAAAATTAATAGACCGTATATATCTATATCTATTCACCATAAATCTGAAACCACATTTGAGAAATATAAGTTGGGTCCCACTAGTAACCATCCCATCTCTCATCCACCTCAATTCTATTTCTTTACCATCTTTAGTGACATTGACGTCTTTACCACCTTTTTTTTTTCGGTCATTCAACTCTAACGAACCAACACCACAACCCTTCTATTGGGTTGTGGTGATGGAAAATTCAACTTTGAGTTAAAATATAAGTTAGGGACCAAAGCATAAATTACCCAAACCATAGGGACCATTTGTGTAATCTACTCTCACATTTTTTGTTTGTTCACATCTGGGTAACTATCTTTTTTATACACATCTAGGTAACTAACTTTTTGGAAGTGTTCACATATAACCGGTCAGAATGGTCATATGTGAACACTTCCAAAAAGTTAGTTACCTAGATGTGTACAAAAAAATATAGTTAGCCAGATGTGAACAAACTGAAATATTAATTACGTTAATAAGTCTATTTCCCTTAAATAAGTAGCATTTTAATACATTCTTGCAATGCCTTAAATATTTTTATATACTAAAGTTGATTAAATAATTTTGTTTTTGACAATAGAACAATTTTTGGAATGGATTTTTTTTACTTGGAAATTGTTTAGTTTTGCAATGTCTTTTTTATGTTTTTTTTGTTATGGATAAATCCATTTTGAGTTGTTTGAAAATGTTGATAAAAGTTGGGTATTATATAATACTTGATCAATAAGAACAATATCATTGTATTGTAGTTTTTTTTCTAGGTTTATGGGTTTATGTGTATACTAGGAGAATAACTATGCGTGTAACGCCCTGTTCCGAATCGTTTCCTAATGCGGGGTGGTGACCCGAAGACCGAGTATCATCAGGCTTAGGGCCTTTGAGGAAAAGAGATTTAGACCCATTTGAGCGTGGGTAATGTGATTTAGATGATTCGGGACTTCGGTTGTTGTTTTGGAGACAATTGGTATTTTGGTAAAGTGTCAGATCCAGCTTTTATGGAAATTGGATTTTTGTTCCGGAAATTTTAAGGTGATTATGAGTTAATAGAAGTGTAGAGCTCTTCGTTACCTCTTCGTAGATATAAGGATCCTCGAAAACGGACTTATAACGAATCATGTATGGCCTTTGGAAGGTTGTAGGGTTTAAGGCTAACCCTAGTACTATTGGATTAGGTGTCTACGCCTATAACTATATTTGGTATGTACTTGACCCGATAGTAGCATGGTCATTTTGGGTTGCCTTCCCCATAGCCACTTGACTGGATGAATTATGGAGAAAGAGGTTAATTATGATTTTTTAATATATTATAGGAATAATAAATTAAAAGAGAAATCATATTATTTAATTAATATTGGTCAAGAATTAATTTAGAAATAATTTTGTGATCAAAAGAGATTAATTAAATTAAGGGGACTGATATTGTAATTATAAGAGCCTATGTCGTTTTTCTATTGTATTTGATGCTATGCTTAATTTTTCAAAGCTGAAAATTTTCGTTTTTTTTATTCTGTCTGATTCCACGACGTGGAATAGCCTTCCACGAACACGGAATGGGATCTGACGAAAATTTTCGGGATTTTGGCAAAGATTGGATTTGGATTATTACCATAAATTGTTTTTCTAGTAGAAAATTCGTTTTATCTGTTATGGTAATGCATATCTTAATCCAATTAGAAGATAATTGTCAAGCTATAAGATAATTATTAGTTTATATGATAAAGATAATTATTTGTATTATTTGATGTGAATTATCTTGCCATAAATTGAATTAGGTCAAATTTAGATAATGACAAATTAGTTTATTAATTTAATTATATTTTAAATTGATCTAGAAGGTTTTGAAAAGTTTCAAAATTTGCCCTCAAGTTCTGGAAATTAAATTTTAATTAAAAAGGTTTTTATTTTAAAATATTTAAATTCTAAACCCTAGAGTTTTAAAGTTTAAAATTCTACCCTTATACTATTATAATATTAAAAGATTAATAATTATATATATATGTATAAGACGAGTCAGTCTTACCGTTAGTAGGCCTCATTCACGAAGCTGGTCTATAAGGGGTGTTTAAGGAAGCGGACTGTAAAATGACCGTCATTGGGTATCCACTCTTACCCACCGCACACTTGACTAGTGGAGGGTCGTTAGCCGAACGGGTAGGATATGACAAACTAATTCCTCAATAATAAGTATAATGATATATAAAGTAACTAAATGTTTTCACAAATTCTCAATTTTAGTTACTTTAGGAAAAATATGAAAATGATGCTATTCCATGAAATTGCACTTTGCACCTTGCCAAGTCGTTAGTGGAGCGTGTGTGGCTAACCGACACACTAATTTGGGACTAGCAAGGGTGGAAAAGGGTAGCTCAATGTTTATCATATATCAATGGAGCGTGCGGCACATTGATTAGGTGATGAATGACATCGAGAGTACCAAGCACATTTGCATGGTTATTCACACCTTGTTTGTGATCCTCGGTATCCCAGTCACAAACTTGAAGGACATAATCGAGATTTAAACATGTCATTGAAAAGTTCAATGAATATCAAAAGAATCTAGGAATTTCAATTCATTTAAAACTTAATATTTTTTTTCGTTTTTCATGGTGGAAATTGGTAAATCGTCATTTACCTACCCTCAAATTATTTGCAATTAGATTACGACATCCCTTTTCTAAATTGTAAATAATTGTGTTCGGTCCTAGCCCTAATTTTTCGTTTGGGTGTTAAATTGGGGATTCTTATTTAATCTAAACTTTGTCTCTTTTCTTTTTCAGATGTCTACCTCAAACAACAACGCTTCTGGCTCCAACCCTTCTGGCTCTTTCTCACTCATGAACTTGTGTGGGAGGGTGATCTTTGATGGATCCAATTTAACTATTGGATTCGCAACATTCTCATGGTCACCTGCTACGAGGACAAGGAGTATGTTCTAGACAAGGAGCTGAAGGAGATTGACCATAACACTGCTACTCCCGAGCAAATCTCTCAATATGATGCTCATGAGAGAGAAGCGACAAAGGTGTCATGTATCATGATTGCAACCATGACTGCCGAACTCCAAAAGTCCTACGAGGACTACTATCCTTATGAGATGCACCAAGACTTGATGAGAAGGTACCATCAAAGTGCAAGGCAGGAAAAGTACGAGATCATCGCCTCCATGATCACCACAAAGATGAAGGATGGAGAGTCCATCACGGTCCACTTACAAAAGATGCAAAGGTTTGTGGACCGTCTGCTGAAGTTGAATGTGAACTTCGATGAAGAGCTGGCCATAAATATCATGGTACACTCTTTGCCTCCCTGTTATGATTAGTTTCGTATGACCTATCATATGAACAAGGAGGAGGTCACTCTAAGCAAGCTTTAAAGCCTTCTGCGAACTGCTGAGAGTAGTTTGAAAGGCAAGTCTATTGCATCAACTCCTACTGCTATTGTCCCTGTCTTGGCAATTGGACAAGGGAAAGGGAAGAATAGGAAGGCTCCTTCTAAGAGCCACAAGGGAAAGTCTCATGATGAAACCTCTTCTAGTGGGACCAAATGTGGTTCTGCTACTCCCTCTTATAATCCGAAGGATGTAGAGTGCTTCCACTGTCATGACAAAGGGTACTGGAAATGAATTTACCTGAAGTATCTACAAGACATCAAGGATGGGAAGATAAAGCCCACCTTCGCAGGTATTTATACTATTCAATCTAAATAACTCATCACATGCTATTTCTTGGGTCCTTGATACAGGATGTGGGTTTCACATTTGTTCTGATTTGCAGGGTCTAAGAAGAAGTAGGGATGTGGA